ATACTTCCTTCCATCTCTTGTTGATATTATTATTATGGCTTATTAGGTGACGAACGTATACGTACCTAGCGACTTTATTAATTTCTTCGCCCTCACTGATGGTAGCTGTGAAGCAGTGTTTGTTGCGCATGCATTTCACTTTATAGAGATCTTACGTTTGTTCATCTGCAGATTCACGACGTGTGATTCTGAGACCTTACTTCAAAGGATTATTTCCATAGTAACGTGTTCCGAACTAAAATCCTCGCTAGCAAATACAGTCTTTGTAATGTCTGTCGGTGAATAAGGGAGATGGATCGAGCGTGTTCCTGAACGTTGAAGAGTACTGAATTATATTTCGGCATATAAGTCCCCACTTCCATGTTTAAAGATTGTCTCTGCATATTAGCCATGATTTCCAAAAGTTGTTGCACTGCTTTCAGATTTTTATTCTGCTCTTGTTCGATGAATAGTTATACTGTTAATTTCGTTTATTTTCAGGCTGGTCAGCTGTCTACTTATCGATTCTGTGACAACGTGTGGACGTTTGTTATGGAGCGTGTGGAATTCCGTGACATGAGCGACGTGATGTTCGCTGACCGAGTAAAATTTGTTGCCTGTGATGGCCGGACTTCAACCGGTGAGTTTAACTCTATGGCACTCACGAATTGGCGATTAATATTCCTCTTTGTATTTCGACTCCTCCTTTCTCGTTTTATCCAAACGATTTATTCCTTCCATTGAATTGCCATAAACATAGCAGTCATGATAACTTTCGACTATAAAATTGATAGACTGGGTACACGTTATCTTTGTCTGTCGCACAGCACAATGGTAATGATCAGATAGACATGCAATTCGGCCTAATCATTAGAATATTTTGACTAGAGAGATATTCTTGCTAGATCATGCACAGATCTGTCAGATGCAATATTATTTCGTTTCCTCTGAAAATCATTGTGCTTAGTACTGTTACTCGTAGTATTACGAGGTATAAAAATATTTCAAGGTATTCCATGGACGATCGCTCCCTTGATTTTACCACCTGGATGTTTATGAGCGAGGGCCAGTAGTTGTTTATTTTTCCGAAACTAGCATTTTACAAATAATCACTATTTGTTTATGGCCTATGTGCATAAATGTTTTGTTTTGATGACCGTTTTGTCTTTATAGGAACCGTTATTTCGTCTACCCCAATCACAAAGTACGAATATCACTGTTAATTTTTAGATATTCGGTAATACGTTTACAAACCGCTTTTTAGCTCAAGTACCTGAACCATAAGATCGATCGAAATTCTTAACTGGGTACCTGCGTGCTTCAAACATGATTAATACCTGAATGACAGCGTTTATCAGTCCTAGTCTGTTCTGTAAAAATGTGTACAGGACAAATGAAATATTGCTTCTTGAACAAAGTCATTTTATGACTCTTCATACGTCATTCTTTATTATGAAAATGATACACACAATTTGCGTCCCATGTTTGTCGAAAAATGTAGCATTGTTGTATAATTTGATAAGTATGTACATTAAATGTTTTGGAGACGTAATGTCTGGCCTTTGATGAATGCAAAATTTTATTTTTCACGGTGTAGCCATGAAGATCGGTCATGTTCTGAAACTTGAAACTGTCAAATCTCCGGTAGCAACGGCAGAGAGAATACGTAGAAGCGTGAAAAGCGTAAAGGTTTGACATAAATAAGTCAGCCGATAGGGAAAGAAAACCAAAAAATAAATATCGTTAACCGCATTTTTTGAACATGTCAGTGCTTAGTTCCTTTAATTATCGCATGTCCATGATAGCCGCCTTGGCAGATCGTCAAACAGACAATGCATTCCAGCGAGCGACCATCATTCGTAGTCACCGGGTCAGTCATCCAAAAATCAGTTTATGACAGTTTTGGTCATAATTGCACCTGTCTCACGTCATTTACGTGATATTTAATTTGCGCGTAGCTTTATTCAAACTGTTTAAGCAGTAATTTTTCATTGAACCTACTTTCTTCTACCTCCATTCTCAAACTGGTCAAATTTCACTGTTTAAACGGAATCAGAAAAGTCATTTTTCAAGACATTAGCACCGACAAATACATAAAATGATTAAATAGGTTTAACGGCACGTGGCAGAAACATGCCAATTAAGTTAGCTAGGTGTAATGTAACAGTGCAGTTATCATAATCTATATGGTACTTATAAATATCATAAATATTTAAAGACAACAAGAACAGAGACTAGTTGGCTAAATGATAAATAAAACAGAACGACGACCGAAATAATGCACAGGATAAGCAGCCTGTCACTTCGATAAACTGAAGTCTCACTTTTAATAATTACTTGAAACGATCGAGTGTCTTAAGAGCCAAAGCCGATCACAGATTTGCCGGATAGCAGGATCATATCATTGATGCACCTTAAATCTGGCAGATATGCTGTGAGTGTCATGAGCAAAGGCTCAACTTAACGTTAGTCAGGTACATATGAACGATGGTGTATGCTTTTGTCATTAAGCAAGCGATAATAATACAAAAATAAACATCAAAGAGATAACGCCGCCTTGGCTCACGTGGTTTCTGACGCAAAAGTTGTTCTATGTAAACTTGCTTTTAGACACATAACGATATCGTCCATAATATTAAAATGATGCCAAATTATATTATATATATATAATAATTTCAC